GTCTAATTTGAGATTTCATATATTAAGTTTCAACATGGGTCTAACAAGTCGGTCTAATTTGAGATTTCATATCTTAAGTTTCAACATGGGTCTAACAAGTCGGTCTAATTTGAGATTTCATATCTTAAGTTTCAACATGGGTCTAACAAGTCGGTCTAATTTGAGATTTCATATCTTAAGTTTCAACATGGGTCTAACAAGTCGGTCTAATTTGAGATTTCATATCTTAAGTTTCAACATGGGTCTAACAAGTCGGTCTAATTTGAGATTTCATATCTTAAGTTTCAACATGGGTCTAACAAGTTGGTCCAGATTGAGATTTCAAGATTGAATAGCATCCCATGCGTCAACGTCTTTAAATGAAAATTACGATAAAATCATATTAAGTCAGACATGGGCAAAATATATCAATCAAAGGGCTTGACATCTATTTCGTCGCGTTCCTAGATCACGTCTAGACAATAAAAAATCTGTTCATATAAGTCCATAACCAATAACATATTCTTCAAGTAAATGTCCAGTTGTTTTTTTCGTAAGGCAAAAATTAAGAAAACGTGCTTTGACTAAAACTGCTATGTTGTCGGGTCAAATTAGTAGGATGAGTATGGGATGAGAGAAACAGTCGGTACTTATCAAAGTAACTAAATCAACTAAACTAACTTAGGAACTAACCAGTGGCGCAAGAAGGTGGCACGGTTTTTATTGATATGGAAAGCTGGCAAATTGACCCATTGCAGCGTTATTTTCTTGCAAGTGGGGTGGCACAAAATTTTATCCATGCGGCGACTAGCCCTAGCTACGCCACTGAAACTGATTTAACTATATTACCTTAATTCAGTAAATGAGCTTAAGGAATAGCTATCTTCCACTTGAAAGGTGGAAATACTCCCTTAGAATTAATTAGGCGCAAAAATGTGCTGTCTCACTGGCCATGATAAGCAGGCGCTTTTGCTTGGAAGAGCCAAGACATTTGAGAAAATTGGTCGTTCTTTCGTCTGTCAGCTAACATGTCCAAATAATACAATAAATGCGTAAGTTTGGGTGGTGGGGGCGCTCATTTCGGAGGACACGTGGTATTTACTTCATTGTTGTTTGATGAAACAGTGGTGCTATAAAAATAAAATGTCAAAAAATGTTTATTTAAAATTTAAGTTCTTACTTTTTTATTTTATTTCTGTGGTTCCTTTCAGTCGCGTGTTTAGGTCTCTCCCGTGTGAAGATCTTATATCCACCTGCAAGCTACTACCCCAGGACCTGGTCAACAAGTTTTGCAAGCGATACACGGATCCCACAGAAGACTGTCACATTTATGAGACGAAGAGATCCCTGACAGCTGGTAAGAATAGTTTAATGACTGACACATGTCTGACACAAAGAGATCCCTGACAGCAGGTAAGAATAGTTTAATGGCTGACACCAAGAGGTCCCTGACAGAAGGTAAGAATAGTTAAATGACTGACACATGTCTGACACCAAGAGATCCCTGACAGAAGGTAAGAATAGTTTAATGACTGACACATATCTGACATAAATTGATCGTGGGCCCTTAAGATATAGAAGAAGAAGAAGAGGTAAGAATAGTTTAATGACTGCCACACACCAAGAGGTCCCTGATAGAAGGTAAGAATAGTTAAATGGCTGACACATGTCTGACACCAAGAGATCCCTAACAGAAGGTAAGAATAGTTTAATGACTGCCACACACCAAGAGGTCCCTGATAGAAGGTAAGAATAGTTAAATGGCTGACACATGTCTGACACCAAGAGATCCCTGACAGAAGGTAAGAATAATTTAATGACTGCCACACACCAAGAGGTCCCTGACAGAAGGTAAGTACATATTTTAAAGATTGTCACATTTCTTTGACTAGGAAATCTCTGGCAACGTTATATTATAGTTAAAAATTTAATATACATGAACCCTCAACAAGAAAGATGAAAAACTAATATTTACGTGGAAGGGGGAAATTTTTAAAAAAATATATGGGCCGATTAATGATGGGGGGATACTTCTGGCAAATCAAGAATTACACCAGTTTGACAAGACCAACAATAGTTGCGGGTAATAAAATAAACAATTCCGTTAGGCTGCACATCTCGACACGGTGCCAGAATGTAGAGGATGATAAGTGGTTTACAGACAGACATCAGAATATTGAAGATAATTGGTTTACAGACAGACATCAGAATATTGAGGAGGATAAGTGCTTTACAGAGAGAAACCATAATATTGTGGAAAATAAGTAGTTTACTGACAGAAACCAGAATATTGTGGAGAATTCTGTAGTTTACAGACAGAAACCAGAATATTGCGAAGAATAAGTGGTCAACAGGCAGAAACCAGAATATTGTGGAGAATTAGTGGTTAACAGACAGAAACCACAATGTCGTGGAGAATTAGTTGTTTACAGTCGGAAACCAGAACATTGTGGAGCATTAGTGGTTTACTGGCAGAAGCCAAGGGACATGCAGGTCACCAGTCGACCAGAAAAGAGATTCATTGATGTAAATGGGCGTTTATATCAGCTGGAGCTCCGTACATGGAGCTGCAATGGAATGGTCGGAATGGAATAATGTGGCCAACCGGGCTAGAGCCTTCATGGGCAGTAGCCCCGTTGATGACGTGGATATTCCCAATACTTTTATTACTGTCATTAAAAAAACAAGATGTTGATAAACTTAAAATAATTTCATTCAATGATAATAAGTCATGTCAATGTCACTATATATATATATCGGTATGCTTAACTGAAAAGAATCGGTTGGTACAAGTTATTGACAGCTATTCCTTTTGAGTTGAAGTTTAATTTCTAAATTCTGCCACAGTTGTTTTAATTTGTTCAATATTGTCTTTTTAAAAACATCGTGATGGCGGCGTTTAGTAATAATACATTTGTTGTAAAGTCGCATTCTTAAAAGGACAAACTTAAAAATAGCAGAGGCAGATTTCTCGAAACGAAATGGTGTTAGAAACAGCACTACAGAGATATATCCTTTTTAAAATAAGGAAAGTCTGATGAAGTATTTCCTAAATATATATTTCAAGGACGTGGAATACTATCGTTGTTTTAGAATAATGTCTTCTTCTTTTTTTTTTGTTGAATAGTGTCACTGTTTTGAAATAGTGTCGTTGTTTTGGAATAGTGTCGTTGTTTTGGAATAGTGTCGTTGTTTTAATGTTGTCTTTTTGGAATAGAGTCGTTGTTTTTGGAATAGTGTCGTTGTTTTGGAATAATGTCGTTGTTTTGGAATAGTGTCGTTGTTTTCGAATAGTGTCGTTGTTTTCGAATAGTGTCATTGTTTTTGAATAGTGCCTTTTTGGAACAGTGTCATTGTTTTTAATAGTGTCTTTTTGGAATAGTGTCGTTGTTTTGGAATAGTGTCGTTGTTTTGGAATAGTGTCATTGTTTTGGAATAGTGTCGTGCTTTTGGAATAGTGTCGTTGTTTTTGGAATAGTGTCGTTGTTTTGGAATAGTGTCGTTGTTTTGGAATAGTGTCGTTGTTTTGGAATAGTGTTGTTGTTTTTAATAGTGTCTTTTTGGAATAGAATCGTTGTTTTTGAATAGTGTCGTTGTTTTGAAATAGTGTCTTTTTTATGAGTAAACAAAACCTCGAAACATGTTACAGTTATGTACGTAAAAACTGATTGGAGTGTGTTGAGAATTCAAAGTAGCAGGGTAGAATTGTAACAGCGAGTCATACATGCTAGTTCTTAAAGGTTGATCTGATGGACGTTACATAAGATAAAGTAAAATGAGGTTACTAATCCTAATTTTTGATAGATACGTCATACTCTCACAGCAAACCACGAAATACACTCCTAACCAGACATGTCATACTCTCTCAGCCAAAAAGTCATACTCCTTAAGCCAGACACGTCATACTCTATAAGCCAGACACGTCATACTCTCTAAGCCAGACACGTCATACTCTCTAAGCCAGACACGTCATACTCTCTAAGCCAGACACGTCATACTCTCTAAACCAAACACGTCAGGCTCTCCCATCCAGTCACGCCACACTCTCTCAGCGCACCGGTTCTGCCGCGACTAATAATTAAAGCATCAAATAAGGTGCGCAAAAAAATACAATAAAAATTCTGATTCTGACGTAAGTGACTAGATACACTTTATTGTTTAACATGCATTCCATTAGAACCAACGGGTTTTTATGGAAACAATAATTTTTCCAAGCACCTATCTTTTTTTTCTCTGTAGTTTTTCTGGTGTGTCACTTTTTATTGACAATCTTTTCAAACTGGTCCTCAAATAACTAACTCCTAATCTATTTGTTTTCTTCAGAGAAAAAAACGAGAAGACTTCTTCCTGAGCTTTGCGTCACAGTTGGTGGCACTAATCTTCTGGGCGTGGTGGACGATTTGGTTGGTGTTCTTACTGGACCGACAACCTCGGACTGCAATGCTGGGAAGCCCGAAGGCGTAGTAAATCCCAGCGACTTATGTGGTCAGCCGGTAGTCCAAGCCCCGTGCGCCCTGAAAGCGGATATACCCCAGAAAAAACCGACGTGTCCTCTGGTGAACAAGATAGTGGATGATGTTGTTGCTGTTGTGGATCTGGCAAACGAGGATGTGGATTGCCCACCCAAGAAAGATATTAAAAAAGAGAAAACCATTTCCCAACTGGGTGAACTTCCTTTAAAAGTCCCTGAACAATCTGTAAAGGTCCCTGATCTACCCTTAAAAGTCCCTGATCTACCTGTAAAGGTCCCTGAACTTCCTGTAAAGATTCCCGATCTTCCGGTAGTAACCCCTTCAAAGGGTAGTTGCGATTGCTTACTGCAAGTCGCTGACAAACTTGTTGATGGTTTGGCTATTGCTTTGACTAAAAGTTTGACTGATGGAATCGGGACCGGTCTTAAGGGGCTGACCGATGGTTTGGTTCGTGGAATTACCGCAGGTTTAACAAATGGTATCTCAGGGTCTTTGGTGGATGTGCTAAAAGTAGGTTTAAACAATGATAAATCAGGGGGACTTGGCGATCTTACGAATAGCTTAGGTTTAAATCAAATAACTCAAGATTTGGGAGCAAGTAAAATTACGAAAATCCTGAACAATGTTGAGCAAAAGATAGTTAGTGGTTTACTCGATGGGGTGACAGCACCACTACTTGGAGGAGGCACCATTCCCTCCCTGATCAATATCATTGGTGGGGGAGAGAAAATTGGAAATTCTTTGGATGGTATTAGTAAAATAGCATCTGGTGCAGTTGAAAACCTGGTTGATAAAGTTGATAATTTATTGCCTAGTGTATTAGGAGGTGGTCTGCTTGAGGGAGTGTCTGGATTAATATCAGGGGCAGTTACTGATGCGGGTAATTTGTTAAATGAAGTTAGTGATTTAGTTGCCGTGCCTACAGTAAATAATTTACTAAAAGCAATTACCAGTGATGAACAACTATTGGGTTCCATCAAATCTGTAGAAAATCTCGTTGGTAATCTAGAAGTAGTGGACGCCCTGAAAGGTTTGACCGATGCCTTGCCTGTTGAGGCATTGGGAAGTACAGTAAATAATTTACTTGGTGGTGTCTCTAATGTGGTACCGTTAAGTAGACCGGTTGAAACAATAGAAAGCGTTCTTGGTGGACTAACTGGGAGTGCACTAACGGGACAGAGTAGTGGACTTCTTGGAGGACTAACTGGGAGTGCACTAACGGGACAGAGTAGTGGACTTCTTGGAGGACTAACTGACGGTGGACTAACGGGACAGAGTAGTGGACTTCTTGGAGGACTAACTGGGAGTGCACTAACGGGACAGAGTAGTGGACTTCTTGGAGGACTAACTGGCAGTGCTCTAACGGGACAGAGTAGTGGACTTCTTGGTGGACTAACTGGCGGTGCTGGTGGTGGACTAACTGATGGTGCTGCTGGTGCATTAACCGGAGGCGCGATGGGTGGTTTAACTGGTGGATTAGGTAGCGGCGCTGTTGGGGGATTAACTGGTGGTGCTGCTGGGGGATTAGCAAGTGGATTAACTGGCAGCGCCACTAGTGGATTAGGTAGTGGCAATGTTGGGGGATTATCTGGTGGTATTGGCGGCGGATTATCTGCAGGCATTGGTGGAGGATTAACTGAAGGGCTTGCTGGTGGATTAGCTGGTGAATTAGCTGGTGGTGCACCTGTAGGGTTAACTGGTAGCAAGATTGGTGGTCTAAATCTTGGATTAAGTGGTGACGCTGTTGGGGGATTAACTGGTGTTGTTGGTGAAGGATTAATTGGTGGATTAGCTGGTGGTGCTGCTGGGGGATTAGCAGATGGATTAACTGGTGGCGCGATTGGTGGACTGACTGGTGGATTAACTGGAGGATTAGCTGGTGGCACTGTTGGAGGATTAGCTGGGGGCACTGCTGGTGGATTGGCTGGTGGCGCAGCTGGAGGATTAACTGGTGGCGCGGCTGGAGGATTAACTGATGGCACGGTTGGTGGATTAACTGGCGGATTAACTGGTGGATTAACTGGTGATGCAGTTGGGGGATTAACTGGCGGCGTAGGTGGGGGATTACCTGGAGGATTAGCTGGTGCCACTTTGGGGGCATTAGCTGAGGGCACTGCTGGTGGATTAACTGGTGGCACGGTTGGTGGATTAACTGGTGGATTAACAGGTGGATTAACTGGTGGATTAACAGGTGGATTAACTGGATTAACTAAAGGGTTAACTGGTGGTGCAGTTGGGGGACTTACTGGAGGCGTTAGTGGAGGATTACCTGATAGCGTTGCTGGTGGATTAACTGGTGGTGCGATTGGTGGATTGGCTAGTGGATTAGTTGGTGGTACTGTTGGGGGATTAACTGGAGGTGTTATTGGAGGATTAACTGTAGGCACTGTTGATGGTGGATTAGCTAGTGGATTAGCTGGTGGCTCAAATGAAAGAGTACAAAGCAGCCCACTTGGAGTAGCAGGGGTTAACTCAATTGCAGGAGTATCTACTAGTACACTTGGAGGCGCAGCTGTCAACCCTCTCGGAGGAGTATCTACTGGCACACTTGGGGGAGCAGCCGTCAACCCTCTTGGAGGAGTATCTAGCAGCACACTTGGGGGAACAGCTGTCAACCCTCTTGGAGGAGTATCTACTAGCACCCTTGGAGGAGCAGCTGTCAACACTCTTGGAGGAGTATCTAGTAGCACACTTGGAGGAGCAGCTGTCAACGCTCTTGGAGGAGTATCTAGTAGCGCACTTGGAGGAGCAGCTGTCAACCCTCTTGGAGGAGTATCTAGTAGCACACTTGGAGGAGCAGCTGTCAACCCTCTTGGAGGAGTATCTAGCAGCACACTTCGAGGAGCAGCTGTCAACCCTCTTGGAGGAGTATCTAGTAGCACACGTGGAGGAGCAGCTGTCAACGCTCTTGGAGGAGTATCTAGTAGCGCACTTGGAGGAGCAGCTGTCAACCCTCTTGGAGGAGTATCTAGTAGCACACTTGGAGGAGCAGTTGTCAACCCTCTTGGAGGAGTATCTAGCAGCACACTTCGAGGAGCAGCTGTCAACCCTCTTGGAGGAGTACCTATCGGCACGCTTGGAGCATTAGCCAATACCAAAAAACCAACTGGAGGGCCTCTGGGTACGCTGCTCAATATCTTGGGAAAACGTTAATTAGATATTAAGTTATCTTCTATCACTGTAGAGAAATTTGCTATTGGATTGAATTAAGCCAAAAATCTACTTTTTCTTTTCCAAGATTTATTCAAATAAGTCATCAAGAATGAAATGTTTTCTTTAAAAAAAAACGGAATTTTTACAAATAACATATATCGAACAACGTAGATACAAATGTTCTAAAAACTAAAACTGTATTTACCTTAACTAAACAATAAAGTATCGACAAAACGTGAATACAAGATGGTATTTGTTTGTTTTTTCTCACAATTTTTAATATAAAGTTATCTGTAATCATCTTGATGTCACGTAGAGCTATTGCTTATACAGATAACATTATCTTGATATCCCCTAAAGCAATGGTTTAAATTGTCTTAATCAGGGAGAGAAACTGCAATCAGGTTGAGTTACAAGGAAATATGTGAATCAAAATATGGGAAAACCTGAAAAAAAGAGGAAGGCACAAAAAACAACGAAAGTGTCGGCGAGAAGCCTTCTTCGTCGAACAAAGAATACCACAAATGTAAAAAATAAATCTTAGCTGAAATTTTCTATCCGAGATGTTTTATCCGAGATGTTGTATCCGAGCACGAGGAATATGTTATATTATCAACGCCCTTTCAAAAGTCATAGATTAAAATAGAATAATGGGAAACGCTCCGAAAACTGAGAATCCACGCAAGAGAAGCTTAATAACGTTTCTATTTTTAGATTTAGCAAATTGTGTTTTAATTCTAAAATTTATAGGTAGTACTATGAATAAATCTTTCAACCATGACTGGTTCAATGCGTGAACTTCTCATCTATTTGACAAAACATGCATTCAGATAACGTACTCTAGAAGAATCCCAATTAGTGCTAACGTCTGGAAATCGTATTATATTAAATGTATTTCTGTGGCGGTACGTGGCGTGTAAGGCTTTTGCCTGCCTCACCACTACCTTCCACTCAGACCATCCATACATGCCTGTGGCGCTACAGCCCATGTAGTGCTTTGGCCTGCCTCACCACTTCCTTCCACTAATGCCTAACTGGTGCTTTTCTTTTCCATTCCTGAATTGCCATCTGCTGTAGATCTTGTTTCTACATCGCCCATCTATCTAAGCTTCTAAGTCTCATTTTCTTTAGCCTCGTCTAATCTAAAATTATTTTGAACATTTGCACATTCAGCCTCTGAGCTGTTTTTCTCTGGAGTTTTGGTTGTGTACCTTTATTACTCCTGTCTCCTTTAGAATTCTTTCATTGTACCCCGCCCAGAGAAGTCTGCTCTTAATTTTTTCAGCTTCTAGCGTGTGATCTTGATTTAGTTCATAAAATTCCTGGTTGGTTCGTATTCTCAGATTTTGCTTCAGCTTCTAGCGTATTATCTTGGTTTCGTCAATATAATTCCTGGTTGGTTGGTATCACAGATTTTACTTCAGCTACTAGCGTGCTATCTTGGTTCCATCCATATAATTCCTGGTTGGTTCGTATTCTCAGAGAGAATTCTGGAACAAAGAAAGGGCTGTGATTCTTCCTGAGGTGTCAATATGTACGCTTCTTATAAATCTCTCTAATTTTAATTTAAATCGCATAGAAGGCAGTAAGTCTCATTTTCTTTAGCCTCGTCTAATCTAAAACTATTTTGAACATTTGCACATTTTGAACATTTGCCCATTTCAACATTCAGCCAATTTCAAGAAAATTTTCCAGATGACGATGAGTCAGTTCCAATCATTAAATTCAATATTTGCATCGTGAGTCCCATCGCTAGTCCCGTCGCTAGTTGTTTCGGTAGTCCCATCAGTAGTCCCGTCTCAAATCTAGTTAATGGTTATGTAGGGTATTGTAAGGGAAGACAACTGAACCACGTTACAAACACCGAGATAGCATTGCGTTATTTCTAGTTGGCGGCCACGTATTTGGGAAACGCTTTGAAAGACAAAACCTCCACTTCCAGAATGCAAATGCATTGCACATTCAAGATGCCACGGAACATTTTAAATATAAATATAGATAATAGTGATGGTAAGAGCAAAAGGGTCATTAAAGCAAATATCGAAATCATGATCGCAAAAAATCCCCTTTTTCGTTTATTAATAATAAACAATTTATCTTTGTTTAAACATTATGCGCACTCACAAAATCCTGAGGATTTAGCCTCTCTTAAATCCCATGGAGTTCAGCTGTCATAAATTCTATGGAGTTCAGCTGTCATAAATCCTATGGAGTTCAGCTGTCATAAATCCTATTGAGTTCAGCTGTCATAAATCCTATGGAGTTCAGCTGTCATAAATCCTATGGAGTTCAGCTGTCATAAATCCTATGGAGTTCAGCTGTCATAAATCCTATGGAGTTCAGCTGTCATAAATCCTATGGCGTTAGCTGTCATAAATTCTATGGAGTTCAGCTGTCATAAATCATATGGAGTTCAGCTGTCATAAATCCTATGGAGTTCAGCTGTCAAGTTTTTTATTAGTTGAAATACTTGAGTTCTTATGTTAGAAATGTTACGCTATTGCAATAAAATGCATTATCTTTATATTAATAGCTTTCACACAGTAAAG